GCCACTCCCTCCCCTCCACCTCGAGACCTCGAGACGACCCGTGCCTCCCGCACTCGGAAGGGGCTGCCGCTGCAGCCGCTGCGGCTCTGTCCCGCTCTTGCCTTGCCGCGAGGCGAGGGGGACGCGAGGCCGTGCTCCCCCCCCCACCCTTCAGCCCCCCGACGGGTGCGCCAGCTCTCAGGAGACGCCAGGGCGGAGGCGTCCGCGCCGTCGCCGTCGCTGCTCGCGTCGCCGGCCTGGCGCACGAGTCGGGGGGCTGAAGGGTGGGGGGGGGAGCACGGCCTCGCGTCCCCCTCGCCTCGCGGCAAGGCAAGAGCGGGACAGAGCCGCAGCGGCTGCAGCGGCAGCCCCTTCCGAGTGCGGCAGGCACGGGTCGTCTCGAGGTCTCGAGGTGGAGGGGAGGGAGTGCCGCATCTAGGGCCGCGGGCCGCCGCCTCGCCGCGCCCCTCCGTCGGCGAGGCAGCGAGCAGCGCCACGTGCCCGCTCCACCCAACCAGCGCTAGCCGCTCTCCGCAGCCGCTCCCCCGCCCCGCCTACAAGCAAGTCTCAAAGAGCAGGTCTCGAAGAGCAAGTCTCTAGGAGCCAGGTGAACGATTCCTCTACGGCCTAGGAGCCAGGTGAACGATTCCTCGCTGCGGCGCAAGAGGAGGGCACCTTTGGCGAGTGGCTCGACGAGCTGCCGTTTGAGGTGGCTGCGGCAACCGCCCGGCTGCTCAAGCACCACGCGCGCTCCGGCACGTGGATCGAGATCACTCCCGGCAGCCCTAGCCAGGCCCCGCGCGCTGGCCGCGACCGCGACCGCGGCCCTCACTTGAGCCCGAATTGCCCATCGAGTCAGACGCGCCGGAACCGTCCGACTATAGCGACTAGCACACCTCTGTCACAAGAGTCCCCAGAAAGAAACCCGAGGAGTCACACAGTCCACGCCTGTGTCCTGTGTGATGCACGCCCTGTGAGCGGGGCGGGGTGCGCACTGTGCCTCTGTGTTCGTGCGTCGCCCATCTCTCCTGGAGATGTGGGCTTTATTCATTTACTAGCTGAGGGGCTCGCTAAACGCTCGCCGCTCCATGCTGTGCAACACCACCTCCTCACAAACGTCAGGGGCGCGGAGAGCGCAGTGCACTGCGGTGAGGCTGCGCAGCGGGGGCTCGCCCCCTGGGCACCGCTCAGCGGCGCGGGGGAGGGCGGTGGCGGGCGGCGGCGAGGCGCGAGGCGCCGGTGGCGGCGGTGGTGCGGGCGGCGGGATGACAGGGGAGGCGGCGGGATTGACAGGGGAGGCGGCGGCCACGAGCGGAGCGGCGGCGAGAGGGGGGGCGGCGGCGAGGCGCCGGCGAGCGAGGCGCCCGCGCCATCAGAGGGACGCGCCGCGAGATGGAGGGCGGCGGCAGCGGCGGCGGCGGCGGCGGCGAGAACGGCGGCACCGAGTTGTCTCGGCGAGCGGAGCGGCGGCGGGAGGAGGAGCAGGCGGCGCTCGCTCGCTGTTGACGGGAGCGCTGTTTTGAGCCTGGGATCCCATGCCACTGCGACCGGCGTGCCCGGGAACAGAGATCGCGCGCGCGCCGCCACTCACGACGCGCGCGCGATCTTCGCGGAGTCGGGTCCCAGAGGGAAGCGGTCTTCTCGGCCGACGTCCAGCGGCGCGCGAGGAAGCAGGCGCAGCGGAGGCGGCCGCGGGTCCCAGTAGCACCGGCTCGGCGCCGGGCGGTTTGCGCTGCCGCGAGCCGCGTCCTGGCTGAGCCTCGGCAGCGCGGCGCGGCGCGGCGCTCGCGCCTCTGCCGTGCCGAGAGCGGCATATACGTGTGTGCAGGTCCGCACTTCAGCTGGTCCGGCGCTTCGCGGGGTTACCCTTATATGAGCACTTGAGCACTGGATAGGGTCGATTCCGCATGGTACGGGACCCCTCGATCGTCTCGCCCTCCCTCACTGGTGTGTTCATCGGGGGGGGTCATAACAAACACGGTACAGGATCGAGGTGCACGCTGCCGAAGTAGTGTCGTCCCCCCTCTCCCCGACGGTGATGGCGGTGTGACCGATCGAGCTACAAGAGGAGCTTGTTCAGCAGGATCAGGGTGGGCCGAGCAGTTCCTCCTCAATGGGTGAGCATTCTTACTATTCTTGCATCTTGGTGAAATCCCCCTGCGCTCATTCCCGAGAGAGATTTTTAGCAATACCAAGTTTTGTTGTTCTCATTCCCTGCCCTCTCCCACCACACACTCCGTCAGAGCCCCCTCCCCTCTTGAGGAATTTTGACAATTAACCAGATGGATCAATGACAATCGATGGGCTTGCCCATCCCGGAGTGGTTCGACTCCACATAAATCCGAGACGGTGATGGGAGGGTCGTGTGGTGGTCTCAGGCCCAGTGAGGTAGTGCATCTGACTATCCCGGATCCTGCTGAACAAGCTCCTCTTGTAGCTCGATCGGTCACACCGCCATCGCCGTCGGGGAGAGGGGGGACGACACTGCTTTGGCAGCGTGCACCTCGATCCTTGGAGCACTTGGAGTGCAGTCATTGATCCTGTACCGTGTTTGTGTTATGACCCCCCCCCAATGAACACACCAGTGAGGGAGGGCGAGACGATCGAGGGGTCCCGTACCATGCGGAATCGACCCTATCCAGTGCTCATAGGTTAGGAGAGAAGAATTCCCAGCTCCCCCTTGTAATCAGCTCCCTGGGGCCGTACAGTTGGCCCCGGGGCTGCGGCCCCGTTGCGCAACCGCGGAGCGTCTCCGTGCCAGGTGTCGACCGAGGCAGGCCCGGCCATGGGTTGCTGCAACTCAAAGCTGCCGCCGCAGACCGCCTGCTATCATGACGGGTCGAATGAAACGCCTGAGACCGAAACGAGCGAAGTGATGAGCTCAGACGACGAGGCTGATGGAAGCCAGCTCGTGCTGACGCTGCTGAGCGCGTCCAACATGCCGCGCCTGGACCTCTTCTCGGCGAGCGACATTTACGCCGTCGCCTTCTTGCAGGTCGACGGCGAGCCGCGGCCGCCACGCGTTACCTGGCCAGTCAAGGCCGACGCCACGAATCCCGTTTGGAACTCGAGCCGCCTGCTCGGGTGTGCGGAGGAGGGCGCGGTGGTGGTGGTGGACTTTTATGACCACGACGAGAGCGCCGCATACGACGTCACCAAGCTGAGCGGCTCGCGGCCCGACTTTATCGGCCGCGCTGTCCTCCCAGTCGCAGATCTGCCGGTCGGCGGCGGCTCCGTGGAGGCCCTGCTCGAGCTGCCGCGCCGCTCGCTCTCCCTGTCGTCGTTGCGCCGCGCCTTGCAGCCCCCGGGACACCCGCCCGCCTGCACCCTCGCTCGCGTCGCGCCGAGCATGCTGCGGGGCCCGCGCCGCAAGGTGGTCTACTTGATACGGCACGGCGAGTTCTGGATCTCGTCGTCCGGCACTTGCGCCCCGTGCCCCGAGTACGAGATCCACCCCTGCCGCCCCTCCTTCTCGCTCAGCCACGCGCACAGCTTCTTCATCTCGCGGACGATGTTGGCCTGCGGGCCCGGCGGCGGCGGTGAGGAGGGGGGGGGCGAAAAGGCGGTCGAGGCGAAGGCCTCGCGCGACGATTCAAAGCGGGTGGCAACGGGCCGCCTAAGGAGCACGGTGCGGGCGGAGGGCGGGGCGAGGGCGCGGCGCCACCTTGGTCGGCTTTTCGTGGTAGTTGTCGCCGTCGGTGAGGAAGGTGACGTCGTAGCCTTGCTTGGGCAGCATGTCCACCATCGCAGCTTGGTCTCTCACACAGCCCGGCAGCGCCAGTTGGGTGCCGGGGTACGAGCAGCAGATGCACAGCGCCTTGCGCTCGGTCTTGCCGGCGCCCGTCTTGAGGTAGTTGAAGTTGGTGGTCGGGCCGGCGGCGCTCTGGTCGGTCATGGCTGCTGCGGCGTGGGCGGGCGAGGGTGAGGGAGGGCAGGGCAGGGTGGAGGGTGCGCGGCGGCGAGCACCTAGTCTACGCTCGAAATGTGGCGCTGACTCCTTACTTACTTGCGCAAAAGAATTCCGGGGCGCCGCGAACAGAGATAGGAAGAGGCAGACGACCAAGTGTGGGCGACGGCTCCTCCTCTCCTTAAAATCCCTGGTGTGGTGGCGGTCCTAAAAAGAAAGAAGACAAACCCGCGGGAGGGATGGCGTTCCCTCCTCCCCTCCCTCTTTTTTCTTTTCTTTTTCGCTTTTTTCTTCTTTCTCTCTTGTTACCCCCCAGCGCCCAGCCCGCGTAGCCGCGTAGTTAGTCGAGCGTAGGGCATCCCAAGCAACAAAGACCTCTACTCCACTACTGCTACTACTACTGCTGCTGCCTCTCGGCTATTGGGTCCTCGAATCGGAGGTGCCAGGCGCGGGCAAGTACTTAATCAGGACGACCAATCTGCAACGGTACCTCGCCCAAGGAGCTTGGGCCGCGGGATCTGGCCAGTGGGGTGTCTTCCCCGCGACGAAAGACCTCGCCTCAGCCCTATGTGCAGTCGCAGTCGGCGGCAATGGTGGCGAGTGGACCGACTGGATTCAATCGAACGCGTCGTTGCTTGGCATCACGGGGCCTGATGGCAGCACTGTCAACTGGAACAACCAGCTGCACAACGTGGATACTCCGTTTTGTGCGGCTTTGATCACTCCCTTTATTGGGATGCTGGTGGGAGCTGCGATGTTCAAGGATGGGGGATGGGCTTCCACAAACAAATTTGTGTGCAATGGTCTAGCCCTCAGTGATAGGATGACTTGTAAGCGCTACCTTCACAAGGGAGGCGGATGCGAAGGCTGGAACCTGCTTAACCCACTTTGCAAATCGGACTGGATCTCCAAGGACATGGTAAAAAGTGGCATCGGCTGCACGGACGCGCCGTCTGACGACGCACCAAACGAGGAGTGCATGAAAAGGTGCTACAAAAAGATTCCGGATGAAACGGCTCGCAGCAACAAGTGTCGCGAGCTCGAGAAGGCAAAGTGCTTTGAGAAGGGGCACGGAGACGGGCACGGGATACCTGGCCCGTGCGAGTCGGATTACTCGAACGCGGCCCTCAAGGAGAGTGGGTGCAACTGCGGCGTCGATGATACGGACGAAAAGTGTGAGGACGACCCCGGCGACAATAGTGGTGACAACGACGGTAAGAATGATGGCAACGATGATTCACACAGCAATGATGCAGACAACGGTTCAAACACCGGTAATGAGCACCCTGAACAGAGAGAGGTCGAGTCTTGCCGCGACCAAGAGCAGATGAACGGCCTCTTAGAGGAGCGTTTGAGCATCGTCGCTGAGAATGGCGACCACGATCTTCCCGTATCCGAGTGCGAGAGGCGGCAGCGCCGGCGCTTGGACGGCGAAGTCTGCAGGAGGGTTGACGAGGAGGCGGAAGAGGAGGTGGAGGAGGACCTGGAGGATGAGACGGAAGAGCTCGTCGACCTTGAGCTCGATAGCCTCGACGACGCGCTCACAGACAGCGTGAGCCAGCTACTGGACGGCACTGGCGAGATTGAGTTTGAAATGGCGCAGGAGGTCATCGGCGTTGAAATGGAGACGGTGGTTGACGTCACGGACGAGGCCGTTGCTGACGCAATGGCCTCCGCGGAAGCGGCCGCGTCGGAGGCGGCGGCTGACGTCGCGGCGGAGGTAACGGCCGACGTCGCGATCGACGCAAGTATCGCGGAAGTGGGTGCGGATGTCGGGCTCGAGGTTGCGCTGGACGCGTGCATCGCCATCTGCTGGATGTGAGCGTGCTGACCTTGGGCCGCTGCCTCCGCCTCCCAGCACGGACACACGGGCTGGGGCTGTAGGGAAGATGCTGTACCTGTACCTGAAGTAGCTCTAGATCTGCAGTGTGTGCCGGGGGGGTGTTGCAGCTATACTGCCAAATTCTGTGATATGTGGGTGTGTAGACTTGTGGTGACTTCGCAAGCCAAGACACAGGAAATTCCTAGATCCTACCAAACCATTGCTAGAGACACACAGAGCACGGACACGAGTGGGAACTGCTCCTTTTTAGATTTTGTATACCCATCTCCCCTCGATATCAAAATGTATCATTCCTGATCCTGTATATCTTGTCGGCGCCTGGGCCCGCGGGGCGGCGGGCGCGGGGCGTGCCCCTCGCGTGCTGCCTGCCGTGTTGCTGTTGGGCGGGGTGCCGGTGCGCGGTGTGGGACCGGGGGGCGGGCGGTCGGTTATATACTACAATATAGTCTTCTCTCAGAAAAAAAATTGCTTTTGAAGAAAAACGCCGTAACGGGCACGCAGAGTCTCCCCCCTCCATTCTCTCCCCCTTGGCGCTCCGTGTAACGCGTACCAGTGTAGGCTAGGTGTGCGGGGCGAATGAGTGATGAAGTTAGTGCCTTGGTGTCCGTTCCCCATGGTGGCTTCCCCTGGTCTCTAGCGACCATGAATGAGAGCTCTCACTCTCAGGGTACTCCCGCGTATCTCGGCTCCCTTATCCCCCCCCTCTTCCCTCCCCTTTCTCTCTCCGAGATGACCCGTGCGCTACGTGCCAAGGTTCGGTCCTCGGGGAGGGGGGATTGGCGGTGTGTCCTCGTGAGTTGTTTGTCGATGGACGCCCAACAGTTTTGTAAGTTTCGATTCCCCTCCTTAGCGCCCCGGGTAGAGCGTGGCCTCCCCTGGAGCCTGCCACGCCCGTTCTGTCTAAGCCCAGGGTTCAGCTTTCCAGTTGATCCTTATCGGACTGGTGAGTTCTCTCTCCCTGTCGGTGTGACGCCCCGGCAGTCATTGGCAGCGGTGCTACACACACCACGCCGTTTTTCGTTTGACGTTTCCAAGTAGGAACAAGAAATTTTGTCTCGTCATGATGTTTTTCTTTTTTTGCTTATGGCAGTAAAAAGAAACGGAACTACGGGCGACAGGCGCGGGCTCGGTCGATGTCCAATCCTTCGACTCACAACAACATGTACATGTAGCATGTGCATGTGCATGCACATGTTGCACGTGTACATGTGCATGTCATGTTCACTGCTGCGGTGTGTGCCTGGGAAGGCGCGGCGGCGGGATGGATTGAGAAGGTCTCAGAGAGACTGCAGGCGTGCAGAGGCGCGCGCTGCAGTGTCTCTGATTGGGCTGCTGGCGGTGTGAGCGCGAGACGGCGTGGTGAGGCGAGGGGCAGGCTGTTGTTGCGGGGTGCGGGCTGCATCGTTGAGCGCAGTGCGTGCACATGGTGCTGTATGCTGTGTGTGCAGGCAGGCTGGCAGTCTGTGCAGCAGAGAGCGGATGAGCGCGCGCGCGCGCGCGCGCGTGCGGGCGTGCGTGCGCGGCTTGCGTGGTGCAGGGCCTGCGTCGTACTCGCGGCGCGTCCTGGTACTGCCGCTTGTGAGATGCCAGAAGCAGTGTGCAGAGCCTGCACAGGGCGCAAAAAGGCGAGGTAGTGCTGGTGAGGTGTGCTGCGGCGCGCGCGTCGCGGCGGGAGTGGACGAGCGGCTGGATCTGGTAGTGCGAGGGGCGCGCAGCTGGTGCGGGCGGCGCGGGACGGCCATGGGGCGCCAGCACAGGGCTTGCGCCCATGACACAGGCTTCTGGGCGCTGCTCGTGTGTTTGCGTGCGCGCGGGGACGTACGCGCAGTTTTCACGCGGTGTGCGTGGAGAAGGGCATGAGGGGCGCCGGCCGCGCGCGGCTCGGCGTGTGCGAGTGCGTGTCGTGTGGTTTTCGGTGCCCTAAGGCGACTGACCAGTCTTGCTGCCATCGCGGAGCGAAGGCTTTAGAAGAAAGGCCGTCTTCTCTCTCAGATCCGCTTTCTTATGTGAGAACGTGAACGACGTCGCACATTGTGATTGACTGTACCCAAGTACGAAACGCGTACACCAAGGGAAAGCAGTCTCAAGCTCACATCAGAAACTGCCCGTCCGTGCGAAAGCCCAGCGACCACGAGGCCTCATCCTCCCGCGCCTCGTCCTGAGCCGCGCCCGCCGCTGCTCCGCGCGCCCCCCTCGCGCTCTCCCTCGGGCGCCGTCGCCTCCGTGTGGTGCGCCCACCGCGCCGGGAAGAAGAGCACGTCTCCCGGCCGCAGCTGCGCCTCGAGGCATGCGTCGCCGGCGGCGGCCAATTCCGCGTCGGCGGGCCGCGGCCCGGTGAGAGGGAGCTGCAGCCGCCTCGCGAGCGGGTGGTCGTCTGCATACGGCCGCAGCGCGCGCAGCAGGCCGGCCGGCCACAGCAGCATGCGCTTGGCGCCGCGCACCTGGCAGAGCGGGGCTCGTGCAGCGCAGAGCTGAAGGGGGGAGCGGCTCCGGCGGGCCAAATGCCTCACGGGGTCCAGATGGCAGGGTGGGGGGATGAAGGGCGGTGGATTGCCGGGTGGTAGGGCGGGGACTGCAGTATAGGCGTCAACGTGGGGAGCTTGTTGGTGAAAGGGGGGGGGGGGGGGGGCTCTTGCAAGCCGCCTGGCAGAGGTACGAGTCCTGCTCGTCAAAGTGGAGCGGCGAGAGCGTGCCCGGCGCAGACACCCACAGACGGCCGAGGACAGAGGCGTAGCCGCCCGGCGGAGCCTCGGGCAGGAAGCCAAAGTCCACGTCCGCCATCAGGGAGGGCGGTGCGAGCGCCTGCAGGCGAGGGAGCTGCAAGTACTGGACCCACAGCCCTGAGAGAAAGAGTGTAAGTGCGTGTGTGTGCGGTCTGAGTATCTTATGTGTTTGTGCGTGCGAGAGAGCGCCTGCAGGTATACGCGCTCCTCGTCGCCGTACAGCAGCGGCGGAGCTCCCCCACGACCGCGACGAAGCCGGTGGACAAACTCGGCGCCGCGCATGGAGAGGATGCGCGAGGGCGGCTCGAACTCGCCCGAGCGGACCAGCGGGTGCGACTCGCGGCAAAACATCACCGCAGGGCCCGGCGAGACACGCACCATGCCCCGCGCCAGCGAGCGGGCCAGTGAGGGCAGCGTCCACGAGCGCAGCGCCGCCCAGCGCCGCCCGACGCCGCGGAAGAGCACCTGGGCGCGTGGAGAGGGCGGTGAAGCGCAGGCGAAGAAGCGGGACAGGCGGAAGACAATCTTCAGAGAGGAGAAGGCACCGGAGCGTCTCCCGCGGCGACGGCCTCCCATGCGGCAGAGAGGCCCTCGGGGCGCGTGCAGTCGTACTCGCGCACGGATCCGGACGGACGCACCCAGAGCGGCTCGAGCGCAGCGGAGAGCAGCGGCGCGGGCTCCTCCTCCTCTTGCACCGGAAGAAGGTCTGCGCCCGAGGAAGCGGCCTCTGGAGGTACTCGGCCGTCGAGCGCAGCCCGAGTCTCGCTGTCGAGGTCGGCGGGGAGAAGGCCGTCGATGAGCGCCTCCTCCCACACGCGATACAGCACCGGACCGCTCACGCCCTCCGAGATGCAGGCCCTGAGCGCCTCGAGCTGCGTGTCTCGGCTGACTCGCTCGCCGCTGGCTCGTGTGATGGCGATTTCGGTCAACAACGCTCCCACATCGACGCGCGGCTGCGGCATGAGGCGTGAGAGCAGGCTTATGTGGATCAACATGGGGCGACTCCGGCAGTTGGCGTGGGGACTCGCGAACTCGACGCGGCCCGATCTCCCCTCGCGCTTGGCCTGGGTTCGGACTTTTTGTGGGGTATGGTATAGTTCGCCACCTCGAGACCATACCCCCCGCCTGCTGACAGACCCAGTCTCCCGGAGACCGGGGATGGGCGGTCAGGACCATACCCCCCCACCCTTTGGGCCGCGAGACTACCATACCATACCCCGCAAAAAGTTGGAACCCTGGAGGGCTTTGGCAAAAGAATTCTCGGAGGACTAACGATTTTGACCAGAAGAATTTTCGACGTGGATTTTGCCGGGCCTACACTCGGCACGGGACTGGCGGTGGCGCACTGGCACTAAAACAGGTATAACACAAAATAATTACGCACGCTCCTTCTCACAACGCGAGGCTGAGGCAACCAGAGCAGTGCGCTCCCCACTCCCGTTCCCCTGTGATCGCCCTGAGCCTGATCGTCCTTCCAAAATCCTGCTCGTGTACAGCTCATGTAGGTCGTGGGGACAGGCTCCAGGGCGCAGGGGCCTGTCCTCCACCCATCCCTCGTAGCTCGTTTAAGGATAATAAAACAACAATACGGTTCTCGGCCTCCACGCATCATCACAGCTCGCCCTTGAGCGGAGCAGCATCGAGCTCGAGCAGCCTGGTGAGCAGCTCGTCGCACTTGCCCCACGCGTTGAGGCCATCCTGCAGCGGCTTTGGGATGCCCTCGACGCCGTGGTAGGCGCCGAGCACCATGCCGATGGCCACCCCTCGCGACGCGTTGTCGCCGCCAACCATCGCGTTCGCCTTCGCCGCCGCCGCAAAGTCGTCGACGTACTTGAGGATGATGTACACCGACGACGGCAGTGTGCCTTCCGTTGGGCTCGCCTTGCCAACCTTGATCGGCTCCGTCTTGCCGACGTCCCACAGGCGCGCCATCGACGTCATCGCCAGGTCGTCGGCAAACTCCTCCTTGGACAGTGGCCGCAACGGATCGGTCGCCTCCTCAAACTTGCGGACGCCCTTCTCCACCTGCTTTTGTATCCAGCCGCCCATCTGCGACGCGGTCGCGTCGATAGCCGCTCGAGGAGTCGCGCCGTCTACGGCGACTTTGAAGGCCACGCGCGTGAAGAACTCGCCGCCCGCGAGCGCCTCTTCGTTGCGGTGTGTGAACATCATGACGCGCGCCGCCTTGGCAGCGCCATCCTCGTCTTCGAACGCGGCCACGGCAGCGGCGGATCGCATGGCCATTGCGTTAGACATCCCGCCCAGTGAGGAGTACGTCATGCCCGACTCGACCTGCTGAAGCGTCTGCTTGGTCTGGGAGCACCGCCATGCGCCCCAGGAAGGGCTCTTCAAGCGGCGCTGCCAGGCCGGGATCAAGCTCTTCAGATCAACCTGCCCGCCTCGCTCGCCGCGCGATGCCAGGTGCTCGAGCATCAGAATGTTGTACTCGCCGTAGTCGGTCTGGTCGCCCTTGCGCTGGCCCGGGTGATAGTTTCGCCGGCCCCACCCAACTCCGTGCGTCGTTCCGCCCATCTTCTCGCCGGGCGCCATGTACGTCTCGATCAACTTGCCTCCGTACGCCGCTTTTATCGTCGGTGCATCGTACTCGTAATGCGAGCCGAGGCAGAGTGCGTCCGCGACGAGGCTGCCGAAGAAGGCGCCGCGCATGCGTGACTCTTTCGAGGGCTGCTCCCGATCCACGGCGCCGGCGGTGGCGACACAGGCAACGGCGACGATCATGCGCATGTACACGCAAACAGAGGGAGAGAGAGCATCGTATGTGCTATTGTTGACAAATGTACCGGCGGCCGCTGTAAATTCGTCCGCTAAGGGTCGCGCTGCGTTTGCCGCCCGCCCAGCGGAGATTCGCCGAGATCCGCCGTGCCTTGAAAAATAACTTTAACTTCTTTTCGCCAGAGTTGTGCCACCGCACAACCCAAGGGAGGGATGGGAGGACGGCACGCCGCCACCACACGGGGATTTTAAGGAGAGGGGTCTGGTGCGCTAGCCTCCGCCTAGTCGGCACTGCATTTCTCGCTCACTCGGTGTTGGTCGACAGCGCTGTCCAACGTTTGGCGCTGAATGCGACAGCGCCAGGTCTCCTCATCCTTGTCGCACGACCAGGGCTCCTCCCAGAGCCCTTCCCACGCCCGCCGATACGCGGAAACGAGCGACGTTCACTTTGTCTCCATCCCGCCCGGCACGGCTCCTGGAGAGTGGTTTCGCGTGCTCTTGCCAGGGTACGAGCCGCCCCGCTGGCTCGACATGCAGATGCAGGAGGGTTACAGCGAAGAGGCGAGGCTCGAGGTGACCGTGCCCAAGCTGGGTCCGTCGGTCTACGCCACGCGCGCCCGCCGCGCCTTGCCGGCGCGCGTGTTCCGAACGTGCCTCACGCCGACATTTGCCGTGGCCTTCATCTGGTCGCTCGTCCTTGCGAACTGGGCCGTCGTCGTCTGCAACTACGCCTGCCGTTCCTTCCGCCCCGATGTGGAGGGATCTCCTGGCCAGCTCTCCCTCGGCATCGTCCTGCTCGGCCACGCCATCCTGCTGCTGCAGATCGTCTCGTTTTGGCAGCTGCAGGCGACGCACCCGGGAGCTCCGCCGCTCGTCTTTGGTGGCGGGCCGGGCTGCTCGCGCGTGTGTGCCCGCTCAGGGCTCCAGCAGCCCGAGCGGGCGATGTGGGCGACCAACGCTCGCGGGTGGCCCGTGGGCCAGGAGCCGGCGGCGAACCGCGCGCGAGTGTGCGTAGGTGAGCTCTGCGGGCGAGATGGTGCTCGGAGTCGATCACTACTGCTTCTGGGTCGGCTCGCCGGTGGGACTGCGCAACCGCAAGTGCTCTCCTCTCCCTCCGCCTCTGCTCCGTGTGGACAGAGCCCACGTAGTGAGCCCACTCGCCGCAGAGAGCTAGTGGACAGAGCTTGTGGACAGACAGGCGCCCGCTCACAAGCCGCGGCTGTCGGTTGTGGGCGACAGGTACTTCATCCTCTTCCTCGGCTACTCGGCCCTCCTCTGCCTGTACGGTCCGCGCCACGCCCTCGCGAGCCCGCCCTTCTGCTGCCCCCTCTGCGTCCTTCCTTGCCCGCCCATTCGGCTCGGTGACACCGAGGCGCGGCAAGCCACTCCTGACACCGCGCACAAAAGCGGCGGCGGATGAGGCCGGGGGCGGAGAGCGGCCGCGGGGGGCTCGACCCACCTCCCCTCTCGCCCTCGTGCACGGTTCGACCCTCCCTCTCGCCCTGCTGCAGGCGCGTTCGCCCTCGGCCATGAGGTCTTCAACGGGCTGTCCGCGCGCGGCGACGCCTCCCCAGATGCGGAAGACGGACCCTGCTGCACCTCCGACTCACACCCTCCAGTCTGCACATGCGCGTACCACCGCAGTCGCCCCCTCTTCCATCGCCACCCCCCTCGCGACGTAGCTTTCCTCATCGCCACCTCCGCCGCCGCGACCACCCGTCCCCCCCACTCCAGCCCCCCACTCCAGGCAACGCCTTCCTCGACGGGCTCGAGAAGCGGGGCATGCCATCCCTGCTCGCGGCGGCGGCGGACGACGACGAGAGGAGCGCACTGCGCATCGCCCAGTTCTTCGCCACCATGTCGTTGCACGCGCCAGAGTCACACCAGCTCGGATCGGCTCTGGTGCTTGCCTCACCTGCCTCGCTTCCCCCCCCCCCCCCTTTTCCCTCTCGAGGACTTCCCACTGCCCCCCCCCCCCCCCCTCCTTCCTCCACTCTCCCCGCCAACCCTCCCTCCATTGCGGCCCGCTCCCGTCCCCCGCGCCCGCTCCCCCAGCTCCCTCCCGCGGCGCCACCCCGCCCCCACCCGCCGCCCTCGAGGTTCCGTCCTTCTCCGGCCCCTTCCTCGTCTCGCTCGTCCTCGCAGCGTCGACCGCAGAGCGGCTCCACGCGGCGGCCGCCGTGACCTGCTTCCTGCTCGACGTGCCCGTCGGCTGCCTCCTCTTCATGTTTTGGTCGTGGCACTCCTTGCTCGCGCTCCGCAACCGGACGACCCTCGACACAAAGTCGAGCAGGTATGACGTCGGGCCGCGCCGCAACCTCGAGCAGGTCTTCGGGCGGAGGCTGCTGCTCTGGCCGATCCCGATCAGAGGGGACGGGCCGAGCGTCGACGGGCTGCATTGGCCGCTCAACCCAGCCTGCAAGGACGAGGACGTGGCGCCGTGACGGCGGAGCAGTTGCGGCACAGAGACGAGATTAGAGTCGAGCTGCGTCGCGTGTGTAGATTCAAGTGTGTCGGAGCGAGACCCGTGTGTCAAAAGTGACTCGTTGTTTTATTTTAATCACCCCGTTTTTGCCCATTTTCGGTCATCCGTCAAAATATCTGAAGATCCTTCTATAGGATTCTCCCCAAACCTTGCTCAGCTGATCCAGCCTGGGGGGAAGGCCAGCCCTGGGCAAAGAAACCAGCACCTCATCGGGCTTCCCTGAGCGTCACAGCTCGGTGATCGCGCCGGCCGGACACCACTGTAACGTCCGTTCCGGGCATTTGAACGCGACCTTCGGGGGCAAAGACATGGGCTCTATGGCTCAGACTGGACTCCTCTTGGTCCCTTCTGATGCCCTAGGCCACACCTGGGCCTTACCTGGGGCGCTAGGGGGCGGGCGGGGTTTGCCCCCCGAAATCCCTTGAGTTGTCTGTTTTCTTTCTTTTCTTTCCTCGGAGACCCGTGTTTATTTTAAGGCCCTTTCCCTGCGAACGCGCACCCCCCTCCTTAGGGGTTTGCCCGTACGGCCCGATGCCGATCATCCGGCCCGCTGGGTGCGCTTCTTAGCTCCCCGGCCCTGGATGTGAGGTTAATGACTGCACTCTCCAAGTGCTCCAAGTGCGCGGGCGCACAGGACTGGCGCGCACTGGCACTAGATCTAACACAGGTACGCCACGGGAGCCGCGTAAGCGACTCCTGCGAGGACGGCGAGGCACTTAGCTCCGAGTAGAGGGGGCGTTTCATGTCCTCTGAGATTGTGTGGCGTGCCGGTGGGGCAGTTGTGATCGATCGGTGACGAAGGCCCGGCGAGAGGGTCTGAGCGAATGGTTGGGTAGTAGGGCTAGAGGGTCGCTCTACACTTAGCCTCTGCAGCGAGCGAGCGCTCAACTTAGCCCCCGCACGGAGCCGGGCTCGGACTTAGACCCCCATGGTCGGGGGCCATGAACTTAGACGACATAAGGCCAACTCCGGGTAAAACCAAGATATACCTGAAAAGCTTTCAGGTTTACCCGAAAAATATACTCCGACACATCGAAAGTGGGAGCGAAAACTCAGCCTTGAGTTCTCAGCGCCCTCACGGCCCGCCGATGGCAAACCCGACTCCCTCCATCCGTGTGGCGCCGCCCGATGGTGCCGGGAACCCTATTCCGGAGCGATTTCCCCTAGGGTTAGCGCCGGGAAAGCCGGGCCCCTTAGCTCCGGCTAGGGCTGCGGGGCCTCCGAAGCCGACCCGAGGAAGGGCCGACTTAAGGGTTAGTATAGCGGGCCGATAAGGCCGCCCACACCCGCGAGGATGGCTGTGTGTTTGCCTCCCCGACTCGGACGGCCGCCTCAGAGGGCGGGAGTGCTTCCTATCGCCCTCTCACCCGCGGGAGATGGCCGAGTCCACGGAGCCGCACGCTGCCTCTCCTTCGACGCAAGGCTCCGACTTCTATAGAGAAAACCCCATCTGCACCAGCGTTTTAAAGTGAAATCGTCAAGAGAAATCGATGCACCGGGCTGGGCTTTGGGGTAGGCAGCCACCTTTTTGAAGGTGAGGCGTATCTGCCGACCTGTGAAGACGCTTTACTTGCGAGCAGTGCGTGGACCAGATGGCGCGAGGGCACCGCAACATGGCTAAGGAGGCAGGGAAGCTTCTGCTCCGAGACGGCCGCTCAGGACCGCAAAATGGTGTTCCTGAAGGTTGTGTTAGTCGGGCTGGCCAGTCCCCGGGGCCTGACGGTCCAATGTTTCCCTCAAGAGTACTTCTCCCCTACCCCACCCTTCCACTTTAGATGTGTCGGACCATGCGGGGCGCGCGCACTAAGACAGTGATGGTAGCTCACCTAACCCGTCGCACCAGGGCTCCAATTCCATCTCTCGCTCGCGGATCTCGATCCTACCGTGCCAGTACGGCGGTCTGGGCACGAAATTATTCCTCCCCCAGCGGTTCATGAAGATATAGAAGAAGAAACCGGTGTCGCCAGTGTGAACAGCGACTTTTGAGAGCTCACAGCTGCTGCCGAGCTCTGTGTCCCCTGAGCTCAGAGAGCCGCCCTCTGCGCGCGGGGCCTGGCGCACGCGATCCGGGCCATGCCGTTTAGCCGCCCCTTTGCCTGCCAGACGACCAGCGCCCGCTGCCAGCGCAGCTGGTGTGGTGTCTTGATTTGGGCCGCGTGCGGCGAGGCGGCTCGCGCCGCCCGACAAAGCTAAACCTGCCTGCCACACCGGCTTCTCTCGCCTCTCCAAGGGCGGCACCGCGTAGCACTGACTCACACACGCCCCTCCTCCGCGCGCGGGCGCGCGGCGCAGCCGCAGGCCGCTGCGGCGGTTCTGCTCCGCCCTTGCGCCGCGGCCTCATCGCCGCTGCCGCCGCCGACTCGGACAGAGGCACCACCGGCCAAAAATACGTGCCATCCAGGCCGTCGCGGCGGCGCCCCGAGTAGGTTCGGGTACGGGATGCTCACAACCCGCGCGATGGAGCGCGGGTCGGCCTTCAAAGGCGTCCGTAGGTGGCGGAGGACCGCGCTACTTTCGCCGATCATGCCGGTCGCGTCCAAGGTATCGGCACCGCCAAACGGACCTTACCGGCTCTCTTAACGGTCCACACACGACTCCCCGGCGCGTCCCCCAGTAGGCGCTCGTGCGGGCTGCTCACACGCCGCGCGAGGGCGCGCGGCTCGGCCGTGAAAGGCGTCGGTAGGCAGCGGAGGTCCGCGCTACTTTCGCCGATCATGCCGGTCGCGTCCAAGGTATCGGCACCGCCAAACGGACCTTCCCGGCTCTCTTAACGGTCCACACACGACTCCCCGGCGCGTCCCCGAGCAGACGCGCGTGCCTGCGGCTCACACGCCGCGCGAGGGCGCGCGGCTCGGCCGTGGAAGGCGTCGGTAGGCAGCGGAGGACCGCGCTACTTTCGCCGATCATGCCGGTCGCGTCCAAGGTATCGGCACCGTCAAACGGACCTTCCCGGCTCTCTTAACGGTCCACACACGACTCCCCGGCGCGTCCCCGAGCAGGCGCGCGTGCCTGCGGCTCACAACCCGCGCGAGAGCGCGCGGCTCGGCCTTCGAAGGCGTTGGGAGGCAGCGGCCGAGCCCGCCTTCACCGTGACGCCGTTCAAGTGCCTACGGCGGTAGGCGGATCACCGCACTTCTCCCCGGCGAGATGAGGCCCTCCGCGCTAGAGGAGAGGCGGATCAGACTAGGAGGAGCGGCGGAGGCCATCAAGCTTGTCTCGAGTAGCCCTCGCGCGCGCGCAATCGCGTGGCGGCGGTAGACCGATTTTCGCCACCGAGACGAACACCGACTCAAAGGGTAGCCGTGACAACTTCGTGTGTATAGCGGCTGATACGCTTATTCATACCAATTCTTTGCACCTGCCGCTGCGGCGTGCCTCCGCCTCATCGCCCTCTCTGCGCTAGATCTGCTGACTAGCCCGAGAACGGGCAGAACGGGCCGTCCTCGCAACATACCTGGACGCGTCCCGACCAACGTTTGCCGCGCACGACGCCATATCGCCTTCGCCCAGGGCCAGTGCGCTACTTGCGGCGCGCAACGCCTGCTCAAGTACGCGCAACGTACCATATGCTGCCGCTATGCGTGCCTTAAGGCGGCTGCGGCGAAGCGGCGGGCGCGGCATGCCGATGGCAGTGCGGACGATGCGGTTGCGATGTGTTCTGCTTCAAGATCGTGGCGGTGCTTGGCATGCACTTCTGCGATCCCAATATCAGCTCATCGCAACGAAGCAGCGCAACAAGCTGGCTGCTGTCAACAAGGCCCTATGCTACCTCACGCGCGGATCGTTCAAAGAGGACCAGCATACACAGGCTTCTCTGACATGCGTTTGTTTGAGCTTGAGGCTATTTGTGAGAACTGTTTGGCGAAGAAGTCGCCGAAGATTGCGCTCAAGAAGCAGCAACGAGAATCGGAAGAGGAGGATGCTGAGGCGGCGATTGCTGAGCATGAGAAGGATCGATCGCCCGCCGCAGGCGAAGAAAATTTGGGGGTTGCGCCGTATCGTTTGTACGTTGATCACGGTGGGAGCCTCTTGGCCCCAGGCCGTCCACGGCCGACTTAGCCGATGTAAGAGGCTCCCGCTGATCTTAGACCGCGCAAGCACTCCAGCGTGGCTAGCCACACTTAGACCCGTTAGGCCTCCAGGCTCAGAACTTAGACTACTACCCAGCCCAACCAGTTCTGAGCGTCGCCCTTCAACTGCCGACCACGAGGGCCGGAAAATACAGAGCAAGACTTACCTAATAAACTCACGGTCACGACACAGCGTCTTTGTGTGGCACAAGAGACGAGAAGCACGACGTCGGGCGATTGCGAGGCCTCACCCAACAATTAAAGGAGCGCTTATGGACATTGCTGGGCGTATGTATATCGACGGGGCGAGGGAGGGGCGGCGGCGGCGAGTGACAGAGGGTAGGCGCATCGGGGTAGCGAGCGCCGCGCGCCGCCGCATGGAGGTGTGCTGCTGCATGACGCGCCGCGTCTCAAATCTTGATTTGGCGGGGCGGGTTCGGCATCCTGCCCGCCGTGCAGCTCGCGTACAGGTAGACGCAGTAGTTGACCTTGAAGAAGACGCCGATGGCGAGGATGGCGATCAGGTCGGTAAGGACGGTGTTCTCGCTCGAGATCGCGTCGTAGGTCTTGGAGAGCGAGTCGAGGATCTGCGGCCCCGTCTCGCCATAGCAGGAGAGGCCGAAGGGGTCCTCTTCGGTCGAGGGGCAGTAGAAGCCCTCGTCCGGGCAGTAGGAGACGGCGCCGGCGCCGGTGCTGTTGCAGGCTAGCGTCCCCTCGTAGGGCGGCGACGAGGCCATGATCGAGTACGCGGTGGCGCCGAAGAACCACTTCATCGGCAGGCAGTAGTAGAGGAGGCGGAGCGGCCAGATGACGTCGCGGCCGCGGAAGACGAGGCCCGAGAAGAGGGCCGAGATGAACCAGACGTTGAGGTACTTGAGCATCCCGACCAGCGGGTTGGCGCTCAGCGAGAAGAACTGCGCGATGCACTCAAACGCCCAGCAGTGCGCGGAGAAGAGGGCGAGCGTCGTCAGGAAGGTGTGCCACGGCCAGCCGAGGATGAGGTAGGTGGGCAGCATCGCGCAGAGCCCAAAGGCGAACATCATCGGCAGCTGCAGCAGGCCGTTTGCGAGCGCGTACGCCATCGGGCCGTACATGCCGTCCTTGACCTCCTTCTTCACCGTCACAAACTCGGCGTTGAGCGCGTAGACGGCGATGACGGGGAAGGCCACCGGCACGCAGACGAACCAAAAGACGTAGAAGGCCTTTTGCATGATCTGCACCTGCGTGAGCTGGCGCGACTCGAGGTAGACGACGCAGAAGAAGACGGTCACCGCAAAGATGACCACCATCCTCGCCGTGTACAGCATCGGCTCTCGCACTGTCAGGACCGCGTGCCGCTTGAACAGCAGCAGCACCTGCCCCACGAAGCCGGACACGGCGCCGCGCTCGCCGAGCTGCTGCGGCTCGCGCAGGAAGACCGGGGGCGCGTGCTTCGGCCACGCGTCGAGCACCTCGAGCACCGACGCCTTGGACGTGAAGTCCGCGTTGACGACGTCGAGCGCGTACTCGGCCGGGTTGGCGTTGGCGGGAAGCTCCCGGCCCACGCCCTTCAGGTGCTGCGCCAGCTGCGCCGCGGGGCCAAAGTAGGCGATGTGGCCGCCCGACAGGATCAGCGTGTCGTCGAAGCCCTCGAAGACCGACGCGGACGGCTGGTGGATCGTGCACACGATGGCGATGTTTGCCTGCATCGCGATCTCCTTCATAAATTTCATGATCTTGGCGGAGGCGGCCGAGTCGAGGCCCGAGGTGGGCTCGTCGAGGAAGATGACGGATGGCCGCTTCGCCAGCGCGATCGCGAGCGACAGGCGCCGCTTCTGCCCGCCCGACAGCCCGCGGAAGAACATGTTGCCCGCCTTGGTGTGCTGGCAGCTCATCAGACCGGTCGAGTCGAGCAGGTCGTCGATCGCGGTCTCGCGCTCCTTGGCGGAGAGCGAGGGGCGGTACAGGTCGATGGCCATGCGCAGGTGCTCGCGGCACGTGAGGAAGGTCCAGAGGAGGTCCTGCTGCGTCACGTACGCGCAGTGCTGCGCGTAGAGCGCCGGAGTGAGCGGGTGGCCGTTGAGCGTCAGGTATCCCGTGGCGTTGCCCTTGCCGGTGAGCAGGGTGAGCATGTTGAGCATGGTGGTCTTGCCCGCGCCCGACGGCCCCATCACGGCGAGCACCCGTCCGCCTGGCACATTCGCAGACACGTTGTCCACCAGCTTCCGCTCCTTCCTCTCAATCCCACGCAGCTTTGCGAGCGGCGGGAGCGGCTTCCCCGCCTTAGTGACCTGGATGGTGTAGGAGCAATTGATGAAGGCGAGCTCAGTGGTATCGTCGCCAACGAGCATCGTCGCCATGCGCGGGCCACGGCGCGAGAGCCGAGAGGCCCTGGCCATGGAGTACCGGATCGCCGCTCGGATGGCGCCGACCCGAGGAGAGCCGGGCGTGTTGCCCTCGGTGCTGGCGCGGGTGACGCGCGCGAGCGGAGTCTGGCGTCCTCCGCCGGCCTCCTCGTCCGCGCCCTCGAGCGCGGCTGAGCTCGACTCGGCCGGCATTGGGCGTCGGCGTGCGCCCTTAGCGCAGCAAGGTGGACTCCTGGTCGGCCGTCGCCCGCGCCGCGATTTTCTTTTCCATTTCGATGTTCGATTTGGCCCTTGGGCGTTCTCTCCTCAGTCCCGTACCCGGTGTCGTGCGAGAGAGGGCGCTCAAATTTCCTGTTGTGCGAGAGTGCAGCGACGGAGTTTTGTTGAATTCGTTGAATCTAGGTAAAGCGTTTCCTTGCTGTTCCTTGCTCAACCTTTTTCTTACCGTCCGAAAAGAAGAAAGACTACTAGTCATCAGTCGGCCGACTCTGCCAGCACTGCTCTCAAGGACACGAGCATCTGGCCTCATGCCACGCCCCGCGGACCCGTACCCAATTAATGCGGAGCCGCAGAAGCGCGTCGCCGTCATCGGCTCCGGCATCGCCGGCCTCACCGCGGCGCACCTTCTCTCGCGGCGCTACCACGTGACGCTCATCGAGCGCGAGGAGGTGCTAGGCATGGATGCGCACTCAAAGACGTCGCACAACGCGCGGATGGACATTCCGCTGCGTGTCTTCTCCGAGAGCTACTACCCAAACCTCTGCCGCCTTTACCGCTCGATCGGCGTCGCGTTCGGCACGGCAGACTACTCGTTCAGCCTCGTCGACGACTGCCGCGGCGGAGGCGCCTACTTTCGGTATGTCAACCTGCTCGTCCGCGGCCTCGCGCTGCCGCTCCCTTCGCCCACGCTGCTCCTCGCGCCGCAGCGCCTCCCGCGCTACCTCCGGCTCGCGTACCAGTTTGGCCGCTTCCTCCGCAGCTCTCCGGCGCAGGCGGCTGCTCAAGCCCTGGCCGCTCCTCCCTCGCTGCTCCTCCCTCCCTGCTCTTCGCCTCCCCGCCCGATGTCCCCCCTCACTCCCCGCCTCCTGCCTCCCGCCCCGCCCCCTCCCGACTGCGCCGCGCCGTCCCGCTGCCCCTCCCAGGTCGCCCTCCCAGGCATGGGCGACCTCTGCCTCGAGGACTTCCTAGCGGCAAACGGCTACGCGCAGGCCCTCGGACCCTCTGCCACCTGCGCCTGGGCCTGTCCACGACAGCCCCTGCCCTTCATCCACTCATTACTGAGTCCGACTACGCGGTTTACCGCGCTCGCAAGACCGCTTGGTGCTGCAGCTCAAACAAAATTAGCCCGGGCTGGCCTCACCAGACCCACATATGGTGTACATGGACTGCCGGACGATCTCGACTGCATCAGCGCTAAC